ACAAATTTTCTGTCAGAATTTGCTTACGTTTCGTTAAGCTAATCCAAAATATTAATTTGGTTACAATTTTCGAACCCATGGAAAGGAACTTCGAATTATAATAGCATTTTTTTTCGCTTTCTACATGATTGTGTCACATGATGGAAGCAGCGGGTCATTAACAAGTACCGGGCAAGGCCAACTCTAAATCACCTCGTCTACTACAGTGAGAATATTGAAATTGAAGTGAAATATGTTACATTATCCTTCGACGATGGACGATTTACTTCTGATGTAAGCCCCCATGTCGGAGGATGCTTAAAACGTCAATTGACTCTTTTATGTCAAATTGTTATTATGAATCACTTAGACCTTTTCGCCATGTAAAGATTTCGCTTTCACAAAGAGAGAATTGTATGTTAGGGGCCTCGAAAAATTGCCCTATCCGATCCAAATTTGAATATGCATATGAATGCCAAAACAATTTTATTCATCGATTTTTGTTGCTGGGTTCTGAAAATTATAATAGTTTTCATGTAATGAATTTGGCAAATAATTTATTAAATGCGAAATAGTCGAATAAGGGGGCCGAACCGAACCGTTTTCAATAAGGTTTGTCCTTGGAGCAAATTTCACCAACAATATCTCTGTAGTTATGACCTGTAGATTGAAAACAAACGGACATAGACACAAAGCATACGGAGAGACAAGCTTGATAGATCGATCTAGAAAGAAATTACGAATCGGTGTAGAAAAGTCCTTCTGAATACTATATACATCCGCACAAGTTTAATATAATTTTATATGACAGATGATGTAGGGTATAGTAAAAACCGAAAACTTTTGAATGATAAATATATGAACTTAGACAAATAATCGACAAATAAAAATTTAAAATGCATTATGAATCTTTATCAAGGTCATCTAAAATATTATCAGCAAAATATATTAATAATCGCCAACTCACACTTCCACAATTAAAGAAAATTCTTCGTAATATATTTATATATTCGTAGTGGCTTAAGATTGTTAGTTAAAAAACATTTGTACCATGGTAAATATAAATTTTTCCTTTGTTTACTTACTATAAGCATAGCCTTCATAGTCTTGAATTCATGCATATTTTCCTATGAGAGATAAAAATTAAAGCTTATCGCATCTAGTTTTCTGATTTTAAGATTTTCCATGAAAAATAGATACGCGCACTAATATTGTTAGAAGAACTTGGAATCTCACGTTGGACAAAAGCGTACGCATTTGGATGCTTATTTCTTGCTTTTCTTAATGAAATGAGAAGAATTATAATAAAAAGGATTTAAGAGGAAAAAGCAAAGTCTTTTATATACTCCTTATAAGTTGGTTGGCTATAAGTCCATGCTTATATGTACGTACATAAATATATCTATGTACATGTATCATCATTTCAAGTTCTTATAGCAAAAAGTTTCTTGAATACTGGTCCATTGTTTAACTAAGTCATGTCTATTTCTCTTTGGGCAGATTATTCAAAAAAATATTAAAGATAAGGATATTAATTTCATTATTCTACACATTAAATCTGAACAACAATTCTCTAGAAAATATTTTTATAATGAAATGCGAGGAGAGTGAATTATTAATAGTAAAAGCCGTCCGTGAATCAATCGATTTAATGTCATGCGATAATTGCGACATTTTAACATGAATGAGAGAGATACGTGTGAACATTGTTAGAAAAAATTTAATAGCTATGTTTAGCATATATCTTGCGACACAATAATACCAATTATTTGAAAAAATTTCGATATTATCTTAGCGAAAATGAACCACAAAAACTTGACGAATGCAAAGAGAAAAAATTGCATCAAATTGTATATGATAACTAAGCTCCGGTTCCTCCACAATGTACTTTAGTTGTACAGTTGTCTAATAGAATATGTATTATATTTAAAATGTCGACAAGTAACCCTATTGATGGTTTCGAGGCATATTCAGTTTTAGATGTAGGATCAAAAATAAATTGTATGCAGCGTGTTTTCAAAGTTCCTGACCGCTACTAGCAAAGGGTAATAAGAAATTTAATCGCCTAGATTTTGGTATGACGGTGAGTATTATACCGATTTTTTAAAAGTATTCCCCCATAGTTGCATTAATTCTTTCATTAATTGCTTCAATCTAAGCCAATCTCTTAAAAGCAGAAATACCACATGTAACTGCAAATTATAAGTATTTCAATTTAATTCCTAAACGCTAAGACTTCAACGCAATCAAACTCGTAGCGGAATACAATTGAAATTGAATACGGGAGTACGTAAAAGCGGAAGGATTAAGCAAAAAGGATGAATATTTTGAAATGATGCTATCAATAGTTAGCTAATCTGAAGGCAGTTTATTGCAAACATTTGCTGAGGTCATTAAAAGATTTATAAAAACAATATAATCGATCAACTAACAATATATGCACAATATGTATATTTATTTATGTATGAATGTACGTATATATGAGATACTTGCCATAAATTGTAAGTTATTGAAAGCCATATTTTTAAATTCTCATTATATAAAAATTATACGCATAGTAGGGCAGAATGATTAACGGAGGCAATGCAGGCCTATCCGTCAGCCATAAAACTCACGCATCGTGAGTTAATGTTAGCTTCTCAACTTTTACTTGCAATAATTTTAGCTTATATATCAATTAAGTAGAATTTCACTGTTTGGCTGACATTTTTTCTCTTATTTCATTACATAATTAATTTTGTGGCTTTTTGAGTATATAATGAAGGAATAAAATGTTCTATATGTTTTTGTGTACGATATAAGTATATCGTAAAATTATATACGATGATATATCGTAAATGTAATGCAAAAATATTGCAGAATTGCAGATATCGATGATTCATTCGTTTTATACGCACTACCGGAAAATAAGAGTATACTCATGTCCTCACAACGTTTGCAACATTCAGAAAGAAACTTCAGAGATGCAATAAAATCTATATACTCTTGATAAGACTCATGTTCTGAATCAATGTAGGCATGTCCGACCGTCCATATATATAATGTCTACTGTAGACGATAAAAACGAGTCTATCGGTTTCAAATTTGGCAAACACTTTGGACGATATTGCACGCAGGTTTGTACTAAAAATAGGTCAAACCGGTTGAAGGGTGCGAACACATCTGTTTTCAAAATCAAAAAAAAAAAAAAAAAAAAAAAAAAATTAGGGGGAATATTAAGGTAAACGTGGCGGAAATAAAAGATTCTTCTATCTTTTTAAGCTTTTTTTTTTTTTCTCACAAGATATTCAGTTATATTCGTATGCTAAACTATGAATGAAAACTATGTACCGGGGAAATCATCTATTATTGATTGACATGCTGAATTCAAACAGGGTCATGTAAACACCGATGATTGTGTAAGTATAATATCGGCTGGTGTTGCCTGAAATATCTGACTCCTTCATCACACTGACATCGTAAGGCATTATATTTATTGTTTTGTGTTGAAAAGCTCTGTTCGAAATGGGTACCGTATTCACTGACACCAGATCAAAAGCAATAATGCGTCGATAATTCAGAGCACTGTTTGGTTCGTCATCTATGTGGATGGCAATCAGTAAAAGTCGTTCAAAATGGGCCAAATCTCAAAAGTTATCTGGAAAGGTTATAACATTTATTCATCGATGCCACTGAAAAGGGACGTGGAGCCAATAGCGAATATTACATGGTATTATTAGATCGATTGAGTATAGATATGAAGAAAAATTGTTCTACCATGGGCAAGAAAAAACCTTTCTTTCACCAAGATAATGCTTCATGTCACAAATGGATAAGAAGGATGTTTAAATTCAATAACTTGCTCTTCTAAGTGCTTCTCCAACCATCGTACGCTTTCGATCTGGTCCCTAGTGACTACTGGCTTTTTATAGACATCAAAAAGATGCTCTAGGTAAAGAAATTTGACATAAATGAAGAAACTGAAACCTATTTTGAGAGCAAAGACAAGTTCTTCTACAAAAAAGACATGAAAACGTTAGAGGAGCTTTGGAATAAATGCATCACTGTTGGAGAAGACTACATTGATGAATAAAATCGAATTTCTAAAAAAAAAAAAAAAAAATAATCGGTGTTTTTTAGACTGAATACCTATTAATTGCTATAATAAATTGCATGAGATATTTTTACATTGTTCAAAAAATTTTCGTCTCAGTGAATGATGTTGACATGAGAAGTGACTAACTGTTTGACTTACCCAAAACTAATAGAGCTGAGTTTTGAGAATAAATATAAAACTACGCCGCCAAAATACGCTTTACTAAAGTTTTCTTGTAAGGTGACTACTAATTCCTCTAGAAGTCATTATGACAACTTGCAAGAGAAATGAAATCTTAATCATTCTGATTATTAGAGAAATCAAACTGAAATTGGAATTAAGATACCATTGTAAAGAGCTTTTTGTGGCAAATCCTTTCACGATAAGCCATGATGAGGCTCTACACTTACGAAATTATGCTCGACACATTAATTGTTTGTTCTTTTTTAAATACAATTTTGTAAAACTTGCCATGGTCTCATATATCAACAAATTGCAGCTAAAGAAAAGTGGAAAAAAAAAAAATTAATAAATATTGAAGAAAACGAAGGTAATTTCACGAATTATTAAAGGAAACAATCTGTCGGAATCAAAAATACTAAAACAAAACCCTCGAGAGTCTAAATCTACTTATAAAGAAAATGGTTTGATATCATTGCTTGTCTTTGAAATCGAGAGTGATATAATTTTACTTTGAAGTATTTGTTAATGAAAGGAACGATTGGAGACAATAGAAACAGTTGGAAAAAGGCGGAAAAACGTTTAGAGAAACCATAGAAGTTATAGGAAACTTTTAAAGATTAAAGATTAACAACGATTTGCTCTCAATTACAAACTAATTAATTATTATATGTTTTTTGTGTTATTTTCTTATTCTATTATTATTCTTTTTATTTATTTATTTTTTTGATTTTTTTTTTTTTTTTTTTTTTTTGTTTATTCTCACATTGGATCCAAGCGTTTAAACGAAACATTTTGTTTTAGAAATGTGAAGAGAAATGCGCTTTAATTGTTTTAACTTTGTTTTATTTGTTTTAATACATTTTTCTCCCTTTAACTATTGTTGTTGTTTTTTTTTTTTTTTGTTTTGTAATTGCAATTAAGTTCCGTCCATTTGTATTGATTGGCATACGAAAAAGTTGACTTTTCGCCAATAAACGTTTCCTTATCAAATATCTTTTCTTAAGTTCTTAAGTTTCTTTGATTTTAATTTATGCTTTCCATAAAAAACATACGCATGTTCCTTCAAACGCACACGCATATATATGTATTATCGATTTTTGAATACTCTTTTCTTCTCTTTGTTTTTTTTTTTTTTTTGTTTTTTTTGTTTTTTTTTTAATTAGAAGCTCAAATGTGTTTTTCAATTGAGTGCTAAAGGGGAGGTAGAAATATAATATATATATGGATTGATTTGTAATAGCCAGGAGTTGTGATACAAGGAACTCATTTCTTATATTTATTTATATGTGTAGTACATGTTAACCTCAATGTCGTGCTTATCTTTTTATTTGCAACGGTTATTCACGTTTTCCCTTCCTCCCCAATTTCTGCAATGCTTCTTAGACCGTCCGACTATGCATGTATCTGTCTATCCGTTCATTAATTCTAAGGTCTGTCTGCCTTTTATTACTTCTTCGAAAAATGCAAGTCAATCTCCTGCTCCTAGTCTCCTTTTTTTTTTATGTTTCTCTGATCATATGAGGAAGGGATAGACATAATCCCTTAACTTGCTTGCTTATTGTCTGAAACTAGTTAATCAAGTCTGTCGTTTTATTTTTATTTTTTTTTTTCTTTCTATTGCATGGTTCTGCACAAAAGCACAGATCTCTCTGACAGCCCTTTGATTTTTTGATTCCTCAAAACATTAAACGAGTTATTAATGAACTGCCTACCTGCTTGTTTTTTAGTACGCCCGCATATCTGTCTAACTAATCACTTGAGGTTTAAATATTTCCCTGTAGTTAAGTCAGTGCGTGTGATCGGATCCCTCAATCAATCAATCCATCCGTTTGTCGGTCTAAAGTTGACAATTTTGTAATTGTGAAAGTTTTGTTTCGGAAATTTGAGTTTAGTTAATAGATGTTTCACAGTGAAAAGAGCAGGCGCCCGAGCTTCGTTTGAAACTGACTCTAACTGTTTCATTTGCTTTTTTTTGGGGGATTACTGTTTTGAGTAGAGAATACATTCCACCCTGAATGTTTTGGTTTTATTATTGTAGTATTGTCGTTGAAAGTTTCTTTTTGGGGTCAAAAATTAACATTTACGAACGACAGCTCAGTTAATGCGAGTGATTGGGTTTTTTTCTCCTTTTTCTTTTTTCTTTTATTTATTTTTCTTTTCTTTTTTTTTTGCATATGCGCTTCAAGCAAACTTATATATAAATACATATATATATATATATATATATATATATATATATATATATAAATATAAAACGTAATGAAAACAAACAATAGTCGTCAAGAAGAGAATAAGTTATATAGCCGTGAAAGGTAGGTGATGGTGGCGGTGGGTGGTTGTAAAGTTAGTCTACGTAAATTTAATAGACTGAGGCGTACATGTGTTAGTGACGCATTTATTCTCTTAGTTTATAGTAATATACGATAAGAAGGAAAATATATATTTAAACGCACGCACTAATCTTTTAGACCAATCATCCAAATGAGTTAAAGCAAAGGGATGAGAACAAATCGTAATGAAATGATTTAAATTCAATTTTATTAACAATATTTTTTTACTTTTTATTTTTGAATTTTTATTTTCATTTCTTTTGTTTTTTAAATATTATGTTTAGTTTAAAGAGTATATTTATTTGATTTCCTTTGTTTCAAATTTGAATTGAAATGTTTCACTTAGCGCTCGTGGTAAGCGCGTTTAAAACCGTTGTCGAACAAGTTTAATGAAGGACTAATACTTTGCTAACGAAAATTTTGTCACACTTGTCATAGTCAGTAGTGTGTGATACCTACATATACCTATATATATATATATATATATATATATATATATATATATACGCTGAATAAGTTGAAATATATTTAAGCTTTCACTACTCAGTACAATGTTACAATTAATGCTCTCTTTATAGCATAACAAACTGCATAGAATCTTCGACGGAGAGCATTAATATTTTGACATTTATGCGACAAGTTACTAAAATAGGCATGGATATGCAATTAAAGGAAATTTAATTATAACATTAAATTAGATTTTCTTTCTTCTATACGCATATATATTATATATGCATATAAATATATAAATATATATATATATATATATAAATTTTTTCTTTTTCGCAACTCATGGCTTCGCGTACGGACAGTTAATATTTCTAACATTATTTTCATATCACATATCAGTCAGAGCCATAAGTAAACTCATACGTTAAGATGACTTGTCTTCTCTTGTTTTAAGCAAATATTGTAAGAGTGTGTGCTTTTTGTACACATGTGTTATTCGTAGTGTGATTTAAATTATTATTTTTATTATTTCTGTTTTCTTTAATACGTTCTTCACACTCACTTTATTTCATTGATTTTTTGATCGCTTTTGTCCACATCTTACAATTAATTATATTTATTCAGTTTTTCATAATAATTTACTTCTTCTTTTCGAATGTTTTATTTCTTTTTTTTTTTTTTTTAATTATTTCGTATTTAACGTTGAATAATCGTATCACATAAAGGAATCGTCAAAAAAAAAAAAAATTTTTTTTTTTTTTTTAAGTAAAAATCTGTTCCGTGTGTTGTGAAACAACATTTCATACACGATATTAGAGCTAAAATGTTGATTTTGTCATTGATTCTCTCTCAGCCTTGCTGAGTTTGATGTCATGGTTTTTCGAGCTTTTGTTGTTCAAGCAATTACAACCCTTAAAAAAGCTTTTCGAAACACAAAACTTTATTTTATATTTATGAATAAATAGATGTCGTTTATAGTTGCCATTACTTAACAGTAGATGATGACTGTTGCCGGTAAAAGACCTAAAAAGACAAAAAAAAAAAAAAAAAAAAAAAAAAGCAAAGCAATATTTTCCTTTCTTTATTCATCATTCAACTGTCTGTATATGCAAAATTAGTTAATAATATTGACTCTAGGCAGCAATCCTACAGATTTATCATCGACATCAAAACATGCCTAACTCTAGTCGGCCAATCAAGTATTAGGTCGATCATGTCACACACACACACTAAACAACAAAGATCGGATATAATCTCCACATTGACCAATCAATTGTTTCGCGATATATTCGGCAATGATTTGTATCACGATGCAAATTTCATAAAGCCTTCTCTTTGCATTGATACAACAAAATTTATTCACGCTTTGCGGAAGCAGTACTCGTAAAAGGTGCTTACTAAACTTGAGAATAGGAAAGTCATAGTAAGAAGGATTATCTGCCTTCTTACTGGCAATTCATTTAAGCTTAAGTTTTTTTCGAAACACATGTTTTTGTTACGACATTTGATTTGTTTTGTCGTACGCTGTGGTAAATAGTGGACTATCCCTCTACCCAAAATTCTCTGCTTTAGCATATGTTGAATAGTAGTTCGCTCAGCTAGAACCTTTGTAAATTTATAATAGCAATTGTTTTCTACTGGACAGGGTGTGTTGAAATAAATAAATAAATAAATACATGGTTGTCCCGTTTAATTTTACACTAAGGGATAACGTTTATATATGCTGGGAGTAAATCTCTGCTATCTCTACAAATTATGTACAAAAAATTCATTATGCGTCCAATATAATGTTACCTTAAAAAGAAGTAATCGTTTAGAGCGAATGCGGAGCTTGGCTTAGGCTTCGCAGAGGACAGCAAAATGAGCGAAACGAGCCTCTAGACATCAATTGGGTGTTTGTAAATTGAAGCAACATGGCACAGTTTGGGCAGACATGTGGGGATTTGAAAATTAAAATAAATTTGAAAAAGCTTCGCTGAGAACGGAAAATTAAAATGAAACTAAAAGTTGTTGGTGGAAACAACGGCGTTTATTTCAGAAACAACCGTCATCAGGGAAAGCGCGCATTTCTATATTGCAACAGTGTTGCCATGAATATATTACATTGCGAAGCTTAAAAAGCACAAACGAAAACAGAAAAAGTCCTTATTTTTGAGCTTCCAAAAAATGGATCTCTTTCGAATAATTTTTATTTCTTAAATATATGTTCTAGGTGTTTGCATTTATTTTGGCAATTTTTTTCACTTGAAAGACGCATTTATTGAGAAAAATTAGCACAATATACATTAATCAAACTGTTTCCCATCATTTTCTATAATTGTTCTCCACATTTCTGGCAAAATGGCGATACGTATCGAAAGAAAAATATTGCTTTAGCAACGATCCAATCATCTACTCATTTTCGGACTTGTTGAGCATTCGGAACAGACAAGTCATGCTGCATCGATCTGAACAGGGGATAATCAGGGGAAGACGCTCTAGTATTTGGTGAGTAAGATGGGTGCAGCAGAATTTCCCATTCGAGCCGCAACAGTGTATCCTTGACAACTCTTACATGTTGTGTGGTCGAGTGTTGTCTTGCAACCGCTATCGCTGATCTATTTTGCAACAATACATCGTTCAATTTGTTCAATTGACGTCGGTAGACATCTGCTGTAACAATTTCATTCGGTTAAAGCGGCTCGTAATACACCAATCTTGCTTATCCCACCATATGTATAGTAAAACTTTGTTGCGATAATTATTACGCTTTGGTGTCGATGTGAATGCCGCTAACCCATGACTTTCGTAACAGATCCATTTTTGATCGTCACTCGCAGTACACCAAAGAAAACTCTGATTTTTCTGCCTGGTAAGCAAAGAAAGAAGATGTGTTGACATGGTTCGAAATGGAATTTTCGGTCAAGTCGTATTGTAGCCATTTTAGTTGATTTATCAGGTGCTAAGCTATTCGAAAGTTCTTTACGAGTTTGGAATAGGTTTTCGTCTATTAATTCTTGCGATCTATTGCCTTTGAATTTTTTTAGCGTTCGAGGCGTTTTCTTGTCATCGGCAACCAAAACCGTCAATTGCAAAAGCTTCTAAAAGTGTTTGATGGGCTTCGGTAGCAGCTTTCTTCAAGTCAAACAACATAAGTTAAGAATTTGGAAATTTCAATTTTGAGCGTTCCATGATTATCGTCCATATAACTCTGCATAACTTAATAATGTTAAATGAAAAAGATGTTGAGATATGTCAAAATTATCAAATCCATGATGACAACACTTGCAAGCACTTAATATATTCATTGCATGTATCCATCCAAATTAGACATAAATTTTATAAACAATGGATCTATTTGTGATGGAAGTTCAAGCAATTGGATGCAGCGACCAAAAATAATTTCAAATTGTTTATACATCAATTTGAAAAAAATTCAAGTCTATTAACGACTATAAACGATGCTAATCAATGTCAATGTTAACGCTGATAATTTTAAAAAGAAACGGAAACTTGCGTCCTACAT